TGTGTTTTCTGCGTGCAGCCACTCTCCAAGACGAACGAGGAAGAAAAGGACCTGCAAATATTGGGACGTGCCTCCTCCTGGCTTTGAACACATCACACCAATGCAATATAAAGCTATGCAAGGTACCCGACGTGTTCTCTTTGCCTCTTTAGCCTCTAAATCAGACTTCAGCAGAGCTGCAGTGAGTTTCTGCTGCTGCCCAGCTCTCTAACTCATCTGTTCTCCAACGCTGAACCCCGATCTGAGCTTTGCTACTTCACATGTGGGCTTGAGAAGTCAGACAGCCTGCCGTAAATCCCGAACCAGCTGAAACAGTCGTGTTTACAACGCTGTCTGCGTGTTTTTGCCGTTCACTGCCACCAGGGTTCAGTGTAAAAAGAACATAAAGGAATCGGCTACTTTGGTTTGTGTTTGTGCTGTTGTTGATCCTTCAGCTCGGCCCCGGCTGCAGAGGAGACAGGTTAAACGCACAAAGAGCTTCTTTGTAACCGGAGCTTAAAAAACAATGAAAACTGTCAGTCTGTGCTTCTCGTTCTGCTTTGCTTGATCTGAACAGGCAGTGCTTGGCTTCTTCCTCTTTTCTGCACAGCTGGTCAGCGACAGCGTGAAGGAGGTGTGACGGTTGGATGTGGGCTGGCCGATGGAGATGTCTGCTGTTATTATCTAATGCAGGGACGCTGTGAGAGAGCCATGGCGCTCTTTGAGTACTGGTGCTTTTGCTGTCCCTGCTCCAAAAGCCAATCGGCAGCCAAACCAGGAAACACATGAGCATATCATCTCATTCTATAACCCATTAACATGGCTCTGGTAGCACTCTGATTGGTGGATTCAGAGATGGTTGTGTTAATTTAGACCAAATTATTTTATGTTTTTTGTAGTTTTTTAATCAGATTTGACTGAATCTATGCTCATGTTTGTTCTGTGATGAGCTCTGAACCACGCTGACACCTTTAAACACTCGCTGTGCTTCACAAAACGACGTGTTTGTTGCTCTGCAGTCTGACTGTGGGATAGTTATCCCTGAAACACATTAATAGTGGCGTCTGTGTGCAGCTATTTGGCAGCAAACACTGTCCCTCCTTCGTGTTTCCTCAGCGGCCGGCCAGATTCCAACAATAGCTCTGCTGGCAACGTCCACCACTACTGGAGTAGCTGCAGCCCCGACACAAGTGCCCATAGTCGGCAGTCAGATGACGAGACAAGCCAGGCGCCTCTACGTTGGCAACATCCCGTTTGGAGTGACTGAGGTACTCTCGTGGTCGCTGTAGATTCGTACCAAACAGACCTGCTGGTGCGGCGCCTCAGGTTTGATTTCTGTCTCCTCAGGAGTCCATGGCCGAGTTCTTTAACGCCCAGATGCGCCTCGCGGGACTCTCACAAGCCCCGAGTAACCCCGTTCTCGCCGTGCAGATTAACCAGGATAAGAACTTTGCTTTCCTAGAGGTGAGGGTTTCTATTACTGAACTATTTTTAACGAATTATTTTCTGTTGGTAGATAATTAAACTTTTTAAAGAATATTTGTTGTGTGCTTATTATTTATCTACATTTTCATTTGTTTATTTTTTATTGACCGTTGAAATCACCCGTCCTTCTCACAGTAACATTACGTCATGTTCAGTTCTGAGCACAAGCAGCTGAGAGGTCTGAGCTGCTGTTTAGCACTAGTTAACGTGAGGCGCAGCAGCGTGCTGACTCTCTGCAGGCTCTCACGCCCGCTGCATACACGTGCGTGGTGTCTGCACAGTTTTGGCTTCTGCTGCGATTCTTCACAGACGAGCCGAAGGTTAAATCTCACCCTCGGTAACGGCTCACTGTAGGATTTATCAGATTCCTGCTGAAGCAGTCGTGTTAGTAGGTGTGATTAGAATTGTTCTTGCGACTTTCTTTCCTAGTTTCGGTCTGTGGATGAGACGACGCAGGCCATGGCCTTCGATGGGATCATTTTCCAGGGTCAGTCGCTCAAGATCAGACGACCTCACGACTATCGGCCGTTACCCGGAATCTCAGAGCAGCCGGCGTTCCACGTCCCAGGTTTGACTCCGATGCTTTCGTCTTCTTCTCTTCAGAGTTATCCAGTGTCATTTAACGTCATTAAATTTAGTTAGAGTTAAAATGACCTGTTCTTACATGAAGCCAGACCTTATTTCCTGACATATACAAGTTCTTTTAATGGTGGATATTCATGTTAGCCAGGATGAGCTCTGCAGGACGTCACAGCGAGCTTCTATCTCTGCTGTGGCCACTCCTCTGTTTAGTTTCAGAGTAGTTGGGATGAAACGATGACTGATGAAAATGGACGGAGATGAAGAAACTTCTTATTATAATTGAGACGTCACAGCTTTATCCGAGAAATCCAGTTCAGATCTGATTTAGTTCAGTCTAGATTTGAGACAGAGTTCAGTGACAGCAGTACAAAAACATCACTTCAGCTTTTGCTTGTGTCATACTGAGCTCAAACCAGTCAAGTACAATTTCCCATCTATATCTGACAACACCTGTGATTTCATGAGGCCCAATGAGCACAAGGTTAAAGGAAGTCTCAGGGTCTTGGCCCATTTTTCTTTGTCACAGGTCTCCCAAAGCATGTTAGTCCTGCTGCCTGGACGTCCTGGGATGACCTTGTGAGATGGGCTTTAGAGCAGCGGTCTCCAACCTTTTTTGCGCTACGGACCGGTTTATGCCCGACAATATTTTCATGGACTGGCCTTTAAGGTGTCGAGGATAAATACAACAAAATAAAACTAGTACCGGTACCGAAAAAAAGAAGATTTATTCATAACACACGTGAAAAGACCCAGGAAAACTGAGTAAACAATAAAAACGATAACAAAATAACGCTGAAAACCGATAAAAACCCTGAAAACCATACATTTCACACCTGAGCCTCAACTCTCGCGGCCCGGTACCAAACAACTCACGGACCGGTACCGGTCCGAGGCCCGGGGGTTGGGGACCGCTGCTTTAGGGTCAAGAACACCACCCCCACAATCAGACCCCACCTCCCCTTCTGAACAAGCCTGTATTCTACACCACCTCCACATCGGTTTCTTTATTTGCGTTTGAATTACATGTGATGCTCAGAAGGCATGAAACATGATAGATTAGTAAATAATCGTGTTAAATAGTCAAGATTATCGTTATTGACTAATCACACAGCCTTAGCATCCCCACACATTCTTTTGATTGAAATCCAATCAGAAGAAAGATAGTTTAAAGGGGCAGGAGCTTGTTGAACTGTGAGTCATGCAAGGCTACTCTACTAGCTGGAAATAAGCAGATTAGATTTTACTTCATGGATCATTTGTACTTTGTAAGCTCATATTTGCTTTGCGATTTGTTTGTTTTCTCTTCTCGTGGTTCGTGTAGGCGTCGTCTCCACTGTTGTTCCCGATTCCCCTCATAAACTGTTCATAGGAGGCCTCCCCAACTACCTTAATGACGACCAGGTATTTATCTGAGCGCAGGCTGAACAGCTGCGCTCAGCTTTCCTCACTTTACGCTCACATGAGGTTTTTGTCACCCTGAAACATGCGTAGTATGTTTTACGTTTCACATTTCTTTGTGACGAGAGAAATATAAAAAAGAAAATATGGTTAGTCTCGAGTAACAAGGCTTCCGATGGAAGTGAAAATAGCTGAAGGGAGCGCATGGTGTAAAAGCACGAAATAGAAAACAACACAACATACAGTGCTTGTGCCTGTGTTCCATAATGTCACAGCTTTTATTTTGGTGAATCTCTGATTTTACATGAATCATTAAATATAAGCAAACTCCTTACACCTTTCTCATGCTAAGCTTACTGATTTAAGACAGGTAAGCAAAGTCCAGTATATTTAAACAGCAGGCTGATAAAGTGACATGAAGTTACTTCTTTGTGGTATTTATTCCAGTGGGTCATTATCAAAGAAAAAGTCCACCTTAAGAGGTTAAAAAAATCCTTCTTCTTCGCCTTTCTGGATTTTTCTGTTGTTTGTTGATTGGTAGGTGCCTTTAACGAAATATATATATATATATAGCTGCACGGCACTAACGCATTAGCTCGCTAACTGCGCTAACGTGTTGACGCCGTGCAGCCCTTGCACGGGGCGATCCGCGTTAACTCGCTAACGGAGATTTGCCGCATTAATGCGGTTATGGCGTTAACGTCATTTTGACGAGATTAACATTGACAGCACTAATATATATAAATGCTATATATACTTATATATACGATTTATATATAAGTTTATATGGAGAACTCCTCTGAATGTTGAGGAGATATCGACTGAAATTGAGCTACAGCTGGGCGTACTTTAGTGCAGTACTAATTTCTACCACCAGGTGGTGCAGTTTGTCAATTTAAAATGTAACATTTATATATCAGTTTAGCCTCGTAATGAAGCAGTTCATCAAATAGGGCATCTCTGCACTAGCTTCCTGCATGTTTCAGATGTTAAAGTTTTACTTTAATATGAAATGCTGAGCTCTTATGAGCCAGCTCGCAGCCTCAGTGTCAGGTGAGGCCTGGCTGTTGGAGTAAAGTGGTTCTGCAATCAGGACCCCTCCGTTTTGGAACAGTGAGACTCATAGATATACAGAAGGATTCATAAAACACCCCATTCAGTTACTTGAATGATAAGAACATTGTTATTTACAGTGGCATCATGGGAAAGGCAAATCTGGAAATAATATCAGAATTTCCCAGAAACATTTCAACACACCCCCTGATTTTAATTAAAATAAGAGTCATTACAAAAAGTACATTTAAATGGAAATTTAGTTCCTGACTACATACTCACGAAAGGACGTAGAAAGTCAGTAAACAACTCCAGAAACGCTGCAGCAGCTCAAACAAAAGGTGGCCTTTCCCTTTGTTAAAGACTACAAAAACAGTTTGTTTTGTGCACCTGTACGCAGAGAAACTTAATTCTAACTGTCCATTCTGTCTCATTTAGCCTCAGTTAGTTTGCAGAGCACATGCAGCCTGATGTCTGTGATTCTCTGACTTATTTTTTCTTAATACTTGCAGTCACTGCCACTGCGTTGATACTCACAGCTCTTTCATTTTTGTTCCCCCACTTTGTCCCCAGCTAGGGGCCTGTAAGATCGTTAAGTCTGCGCTCATAATTTGTTCAGTAGTACTCATCTACTGCTGCCATGCCAACATGTAACACAAGGCAAGTAAGACATTCTGGTCCTCACACGGATACACTCCGAGTCCGCAGGTCGCTCACAGGCTACTTTCTTTCTCCCATCATGCTTTTGGAGCGCGTTTAAGATCCGGGGATTGATCATTGAGGTTTGGGGGTTTGTGTTGGTGAAGTTTAGTTCTTTTTTTTAACACCATCTACTGAATATGGGATTACTATTATATGCATATCTGTTTATATATTTGCCCGTGTTTGAACACTTCAATCGATTGTCTGTTTTGAAGCTAAAATACCACAAAATTAAGTCATTCCAGCCTCTAAATTATCCATAGACTCCATATTTTACAGTGTTTCCCACAGATCTGAATTTAATTTGTAGTGGTTGCGCTCGGGAGGAGCCACGCACACACTAAAGGTTACAAATAATCAGTACAAAGTTACAAACACAGATGGTAGAAAACATGGATGTAGCTTATTGATCTGAAAGTTAATGTAGAATTCAGTTCAGTTTTATTTATGTTTGGCCAAATCACAACAACAGTTTCCTCAAAGTGTTTTCTATTGTAAGGTAAACCCCCTCTAATATAACACAGTAACATTACGGCATGCTTAAAGTTACAATATAACTTTAAGCATGCCTCCTTCGTAAAAGCCTCCAGGGGGCGACTCCTCTCTCCTCCTTTGGTTGGACAGGAGAGTGTCGACTGTATACCTCAGCAACGTTTTCCTAATGACTTTATGGCCTCGGTCACTAATTTCAGGTCTTATAGAACGTTTAGTAAATCATGGTCATGGAAAGAATCAGAAATGAGGATTATGTAGTACTTGCTTGTTGCCTCTCCAGGGAGTCTATCATCCAATAGCACAACAGACTCCGACTAGGGCTGGGCGATATGACCCTAAAATTCATATCTCGATATTTTTTAGCTGGGTGGCGATATAAGATCTATATCTCGATATTTTTTTAAAGCCATAAGTCACACTGTGTCCCAGATGTCACACAGGCATTTTTATTTA